TTTTTGTGAGTGAGATTAATTAATGCATATTCATATTTATTTTGAACTACAGTAACATCTTCTGATTTCTCTCAACATGGGGACAGGAGAGCTGTCAATCAATAAATTGGAAAAAAAAGTAACTTGCGTTACTTATTTGAAAAAGTAACTCAGATATTCTCTTGTAAATTAAAAAGTAATGCGTTACTTTACTAGTTACTTGAAGAAAGTAATCTGATTACGTAACTCGCGTTACTTGTAATGCGTTACCCCCAACACTGTTAACCACTAATTCACGAAAACGTAAAATAAAGTTACTGCCATGAGATGTGTTGGGCTTGCAATTTACTTTATAAAACAGCCCAGTTTTATAAGGCAAGACACTCTAACCTTAAAACAAATTATAGGCTATGTGTTGACGTATTTAGATTTAGCTTGGATGTGCTAATAAAGCTTAACTTATAAACATAAATATGATCAATTAGTTTAAGCTTTTACTCACGCTTAGAATCAAAAGACAGATAATCCGTATCAAAAAATCCATTTAGCATAGAAATTAATGTCTCTAGAAAACACGCAACCATTTCTCTACCCAGAATATTCAAAACCTCATCCAGCCAACTCAAACCTGATGCTGCTAATGTTATATTAGACACCAGAAATAAAACCGTAAAGAAATGCAACACGTTCGTCATGAAAGCTATCCTTAGTTCGCGGAAGTATAACTCAGAGGAACCTAATAGTCTGTACACGGCCTCCGAAATATGCAGCAAGCTGATTGGCCTAGAAATTCAATGAATTTGCTTTCATTTTCTTCTGATTCTTACAAGAGTGGAAACACATTTTGATCTCTGTTACGTTAAACAGCATCATGTGGATTTCCCAGTTTCCACAGAGGGCTTCGGTCAAAGCTAGAGAATAAGTAGCACTGTTTACAGTGATTGTATAATTATTTCCAATTGTTCTATGTGTGTTCACTTGAGTAATACATCTTGAGAGTATTCTCAACATGTAGGCATCTTCGTGATTTAGCCATTTATGGTTTTGTATGTAGGCCTAACAGTTACCACACCATCAAGGACTAGTAGGCTACCACCAGGCTGCAAACAGAAATTCAAATAAAACAATTAATTCATCACAACAGTCTCTCTACCAACCAGCTTCATCACTGCTTAAAAGAAATAATGTCATCCAAATACACCTAAATGCACTTGTGGAGCTTGAACGGTTATTTGCAGATGTACATGATGAACAGCATTTGGAGCGAAATATTCTCCATAAATGTAAATATACTAAATGTAAACCCCACTTTAACATCTTCAGACGAGAACTGAAGTTGTATTTAAATACAATTTCAACGTCTGTTAACAAGAAAGCTATAAAAACATCTAGAATTGGTGCCATGTTTAAGATTTTTCCCTAATATACTTGTATTTCTATTTGTGTGCCTTTTTTTTTCTTTTTTCTTCTGTCCTTTTCTTAAGAATTTTTATATTGTATTGTTTTTTCTGTGATGTTTTATCTATTAATCCTCAAGTAGTTTATTATTGATTGGTATTTTTGTATGTTTTGTACGTACTGTTTTTTTACTGTTTGTTTTGTACGTACTGTAATCCTTGTTGTTACCTGCAATAAAAAAAATAAAAAAAATTTGGAGCGAAATATTCACAAGTAGGCTATTCAGACAGCCTGAACTTCTGAACTACTACCGCTGATGACCAGCAAGTGGAGCCAAATGTTCACAAGTATTCAGACAAGCCTGCAGATGAACCTCAGTTTGGAGATAGAATTGTTGCATAATTCCAAATAAATAGGTTATGATTCACAAATAAATGTAAAGAGATTAACAAAAATTAAACGTATTGACAAATAAATAGAATGAGATCCACAAATAAATCTTAGTTTCACAAACATGAATTAAACTCACAAATAAATAAAATGATATTTGCAAATAAAAAAACATATTCACAAATATATATTTTTATGTCACAAAATAACTTTGCCTGGCATTCATTTGTGAATCCTGTACATTTGTAGATCGCTGTGCCTTTGTGGATCGGTGCGCGCATTTGTGGATTTTGAAACATTTCTTGTCAAATGCGTGACTCCACCCACCATGTGCTCAAGCCAATCAGATAACAGCCACACTTCGCTGACCAATCGTAGCACGTTCTCGCTATAGCCAATCACGTTTTGTTTTACAATCACGACGAGAGCATATTCATTTTGCACCCCTGTAAGGAATTGCATTCTGTGAACACTTCGTTCAAAATTAGCTTTAAAAAAAAAAACTGTTTCCAAAAGATTGTTGGAGTATAAGGCTTCTTTACATTTCCATCAGGATCACAATTTATGATCATTCATATATCCCGAGCATCATCAGTAATACCCTCGCCACGCGTCCAAAGCAAATAGAAATCATTATAATCAGCAATACTGTGTACACTGGACGAGGCGCGACACTATGAAGGACAAATGATTCGCATATTTGCTTTGATGCGTCCAGTTGCAGTTGCAGTTGCAGTTGCAGCTGTTGCAGCACAGCGCAGCGAGCAGAGTAGACATGGCACAATGGCTTATTCGGCCTTTTAAAGCACAATCGCGGTGACAAATATAGAGCATAATAACACATATAATATCAGTTGGCCCAAATGTCCATCTGGGTACCTGATCAGCATCACTCCAGCGTGTAGCCTACTGGGGAGATGTGAGTGAACGATGTAAATAAAAACAATGCATTTACTTTAGATGCTGTTAAGTAAATTTTACAATCAAAACTAGTAAGTCTGATTCATATGAAATACTGTTTGCATGATCAAGTGTTTTAACCAATAAATAAATGCATTCATATTCAACACACCTGCACCACATTTAAAAAAGAACCCACGTATATTTTTTTCTCCCCAAACAATGGAAACTTTGTAATACTTTTTTAATTCCTTTTTGAAAATATAATTTATAATGCTTTATACATAGCTACATAGCTAGCTGCTCATATACATCAATTAAACGGCTTGACTGAAAAACTGCAAACGCTGTTGACTGTTGTGTGACAGCAATTTAACCTATTACACAAACTCGCATGTTTATCATGAGGTTGAATCCAGTTATTTATTAGTCAGTGGTTGATGCTTTTTTCCATCTTGAATAATATGACACTTCCATAACGCGTTTGTATCCAGTATAGCATTGTTCCCATATAGCTGTGATTTAGCCTAAAAGTGCTTTCTCTGGCATTTTCAAAGGCATGTCAAATATAATACTGTGGCTTGGCTTGATACACAGTCTAATGGTCTAACGAAATCCAATTGTAAACATCTTTTACTGTACCAAATTTTAATGGCCCTTATGTTTCCTATTTGAGCCAATGCGGATGAATGACGTTACTTCGAGGAGACCGCCCTGATTGTAAAGCAAAACGTGATTGGCTATAGCAAGAACGTGCTATTATTGGTGGGTGAAGTCCATACATTTGTGGATTGTTGTGTGTCTTGACCTCCCGCTCTCTCTCGTGAAGCCAACACGGAAGTGACTTAAACTGTAATTCGTCAACTGGCCGCTAGAGGCTGGCTGCAAAAGGGAGTCAATCCCATAGACTCCCCATGTTAAAATGCCCAACTTTACAGCAGAAAAAAAATGTTTACAGCCTGGTTCAAAAAATGATTTTGGTCTATATAGCTAATTTTGCCCTTCATGACAACTGTGAGGGGGGTGAATTTTTTTATAACTCATCCGTTTAAATTATATTAAGCCTTAAAGTTCTGCATAATTAAGGGCGACGGTCTGCTCCGCCCACTTTGAGCTTCAAAAACGCTCTTCGGAAATCTACGGGTGACGTCACGGACACTACGTCCATGTTTTTACAGTCTATGGTCTTGACGCTAGAAATGTATCAAAATCCACAAATGCGTGCAGCGATCTATAAATGCACAGGACGCGATTCACAAATAAATGCCAGGCAAAGTTGTGTTTGTAGAATAAAAATATATTTGTGAATATATTTTTTATTTGCAAGTCTCATTTTTTTTATTTGTGAATTTAATTCATGTTTGTGAAACGCTAAGATTTATTTGTGGATGTCATTCTATTTATTATGTGAATATGTTTGGTTTTTGTTAATCGCTTTACATTTATTTGTGGATCACAATCTATTTATTTGGAATAATGCAACAATTCTACCCCCATACTTCTGAACTACTACCGCTGAGGGTAAAAGCAAAGTTATGAAAGCAATTTTAGAGTGTGGAACTTGATTCCTACAAAAAGTCGCATGATTTTATAAACATGTACAATTTTTATATTTATGTGTATTACATAGACATAAAATATTCAATTAAGAAACTAACTGGTGCGTAAAAAAAATAGAATGAGAAATTGCGGTAAAATGAATTCTGTGCACAAGGCTCTCTTTGGCGCCTCTAGCGGCTGAACGCAGGTAGTGCAGCTGGATCTCTTGACTAAAGGTGGTTTGAATGAATGGAAAACGCTTTCCACGGCTGAAACAGAGCAGAGGGAGCAGCCCAGACAAAGCAGCGAGAAACTTTCACGCTGCTAATCGCCAGTCCTGTCCCACCAAGCATGGATTTACAGAAGACAGCGGCGGTGCAGTAGATTCAACACCTTTCTGAGGGGATGAAAGCGACATTGGAGTGAATTTAAAGTCCTGCTGCTGCTGAAAGGACGAGCTTGTTTGCCTCCGCGGGTCGATGATGAAGCTTTACAATGCAACAGGTTAGAGTGAGTTTCGATATAGATTGATAGAAACACCACAGAATCGAATGCGATCGCTGGATCAAATAGGTGCATTGGTCATGTTGTAGTTCTTTTGTTAATCGCTGAGATGCAAAAGCAAACAGCGTGCACGCTTACCGAGCCATTGAAGTTACAATGCAACAGAATACTGTTGAGATCAAAGGAGATGCAGCCAAATCAGGCCTGTTTGAAATGTGCAACCTGGCTCTGCATTTAATATGTGCGTGCATTGCAAATAAAATGTGGATCAGTGACATAAGGATGTGTTGAAATGAAATAGAAAAACGACTTTTTAAAATCTAGTTTAAAACGTGACAAGGTCTTAGAAATGTAATTTATGTTGGTTTCTTACATTTGTGCACTGCTTATACCATTTTTAACAAAAGTTAAACTCCAAAAAGTCAAGTGGTGTGACATTCTCATAAAAAGTACTAAAATACTTTTATTGCATATTTAAAATGTGTGCTTGACAACTTAATCATTGTTTTATAGAAGTTAAAATGTTTCTCAAGTAATATTTTAAAACATAATTGCTTAATTGTTTAATTTTTAAAAATGAAATTATTATGAAAGATTTTGGCAAACAACTTTTGTCAAGGTTATTATTATTATTATTATTATTTTTAATTCCTTACAATTTCTGGGCAGTTTAACCATGTTAACGTTTTTAACTTTAAGCCAGACAAAACATATCCGCATTAAATGCATGTTATGTGTGCTTGACAAATTAATCATTGTTTTATAGAAGTTAAAATGTTTCTCAAGTAATATTTTAAAACATAATTGCTTAATTAATTTTTAAAAATGAAATTATTATGAAAGATTTTGGCAAACAACTTTTGTCAAGGTTATTATTATTATTATTATTATTTTTAATTCCTTACAATTTCTGGGCAGTTTAACCATGTTAACGTTTTTAACTTTAAGCCAGACAAAACATATCCGCATTAAATGCATGTTTTTCATATTTTAAATGTCTTTATGAATAACTTAATAGGCCTGGAGAGAACAAACTTAGCATCACATACAGTATATAGGCCTATACACACACACACACACACACACACACACACACACACACAGAGGTTCTTCAGTGGTTCTTCACCGGGTCTTTGGTGCGGTTGAGGTTCTATATAGCACCACTGCCATACAAAGAACCCGTTAGGCCCCTGTATAGTTCATTAAGGGTTCACAAACTCTCTCTTTAGTTGGGGAAAGTATTAAAAATGAAATTCAATGTATTTCCTTTTAGTTAACGTGGTTCTTCTCAACCTTTTCCCCCCAAGCCCCCCCCCCCCATAAGGAAATATTCCAGGGCCCCCACACAAGAATTTTTGACCTCAGAAAAGCATAAAAGTGATTCAAAACAAACAGCTTTTGCCATTATAGTAAATTCCCATTCATAGTAAACAAATAAGAGATCTAAAATCTAAGAATGGGGTTCCTTCTTATGGTTCTTCCTAGCACAATTTGACAAAGGTGCTGTATAACATCTTTTAAAAATAGGTGCTATATAGCACTTAAAGTGGTTCCCCTATGATTATGAGCCAATGAACCACTTTTAATGCTATTTAGCACCATTTTTTTTGAGTGTATTTGTATTTATAATTTTAGCAGTCATTGTGTTTTGTAGATTTTCAAATGTACCAAGTTTGTTTAAAGAGATAAATACTCTGGATATAACATTGGCAATATGATGCTTACCCAAATCTGTGGGATGTGTCCCACCTGGGATCTATTCCCCTGGCAATAAAATTAGTGTTCATTCCCCACTCATCATGCCAGGAGTCGTATCTGACCGCTGGTGACCCCTCCGCCAGCTGTTATAGTGTGGATTTCTACCTCAACACCGAGGACGCAGAGTAAAAGCAGACAACATGGTACCCAACAAGTGGATTATGCATCCAGTTCTTCACAAATCACCTCCCAGAAGCTGGCTTGGCATCCGGCTACGTCTCAGTAAGTTTGCTTTCTCTTCTGACTCTTATGAAATGTTAGTTAACTTTATCCGAATAACAATAATAATGCAAAAAAGGTGAATGACTATGAGTTTGTCTGTCTTGATGCTCTTGTATTCATGTTTTGGAATTACATTGCTTTTTAAGTTGAACAAATGATTGATGTTGATCCTTCAAATCCCATAAACAAATCAATAGTCATGGTTCGGCACTAAAATCTTAACATCATATACAATCATTTGTAGCATAAGCACTCTCTGATCATAGTTTATACCTGTGGAAATGTTAAACAAACATTTAATGTCATTTTTACATTGTTTACTGCAGTGCATCTTTTTGTGTAATGTATTTGTCCGGTGGAGTCGTAGAAATGAGTTACAGCAAATCCCTCAGCTCATTATTTAAACTGGCAGTTTAGTTCATTATAATTCATTTTAGATCATTTGCATATTAGGGATTTTTAATTGGTTGAGAATCAGACCAGAAGTGGCCTGTTCTTCATTAAATTCATAAATTGCAATATTTTTACATGCATTTTACATTTCTGATGGAAAGGTGCATGGTTGCTGACTGGACTTCGTTGGAATATTTAATAATATATTCTGTTCATAAATAAATAGAAGCATGCGTAATGAAAAGTCAACAAAATTTTTGTTGTTTTAATAGACTTTAAAAATCAGATACATTTTATTTGAACAAATTCAAATCCAATTCTTGGATGCTTTGGCCATTCAGTACTACTACTTTCACAGACTGACATGCACAGACACTTCTTGCTGTTGCCAAATATTTTCCTGCTTGATTATATTATTGACCTCTTCAATCACGATAAGATTAGCCTTCCAGCCTGAATGGTTATTTATAGAAACCCCAAACTATTGTGTGGTGTACGCCAGAGGCTTCTTAGCTCAGTGGGGGCTGCAAGTTACCCTTAGTGTACCAGACCACTCAAGCCTCCCTGAAATACATGGGTTAATTCTCGGAGCATCTGGTGTTTAAGGCTGGTCTGAGAGGAGCTTCTGGCTCACTCATGTTTGATTAGACATTTTATCTTAACAGTAGTATACCTAGTGTGTGTTTTTCCCCTCATTTTGGATGCATGATGTCAACTGACTGACCTTCAAAGCTCTTAGCTTGATATGCTTCCTGAAAACTGTCATTGCATCACAGGTTTTACGTTGGTTCCTCTTGCATCCGCTAACTCTTTGACTTAAGCACTGGCAGATCCTTCTGCTTAAAGATAATCTTATTATCTGAAGTGTTAAGGGTATTTATTTACCAGTTTGTGATTCTCTTAGCTATATTTGGTTTGTCCAGTGATAGTCAGGTTTTCTAAAAGTAGCTAAATGCAAGAGGCTTTTCTAATTTTGCTAAATGTGCCTTTGTTTGACTTTACACTCTTAAAAATAAAGCTTTCAAAGGTGGTTTTCATAGCGATGCCACAGAACCACCATTTTTGGTTCCCCAAAGGATCTTCCAGTGAACAGTTCTTAAAAGAGACATTTTTCTTCTTAGTGTGAAGAACATTTGAGTAATCTAAAGAACTTTTTCCCCACTATATAGAATTGTTTGTGCAATGGAAAGGTTCCGTGGATGTTAAAGGTTCTTCATGGAACCATCAATGCCAAAGAACCTTTCATTTTAAGGGTGGATGACATTTGTACTGAACAACTGAAATACAGTGGGTACGGAAAGTATTCAGACCCCCTTAAATTTTTCACTCTTTCATAGCGATGCCACAGAACCACCATTTTTGGTTCCCCAAAGAATCTTCCAGTGAACAGTTCTTAAAAGAGACGTTTTTCTTCTTAGTGTGAAGAACATTTGAGTAATCTAAAGAACTTTTTCCCCACTATATAGAATCATTTGTGCAATGGAAAGGTTCCGTGGATGTTAAAGGTTCTTCATGGAACCATCAATGCCAAAGAACCTTTCATTTTAAGGGTGGATGACATTTGTACTGAACAACTGAAATAAGTGATCAGAATTTTTGGTGTAAACTACTTCAGTCTGTGTGCATTGAATTTATTTAACACACAAGTTTCACAATTTGAGTTGAATTACTGAAATGAACTTTTCCACGACATTCTAATTTATTGAGATGCACCTGTAGAACATACTTTTTTAACGGTCGTGAAGTAAATTCAAATTCAAATGTATTACCCACTCAGACAGTACGCGATTTCGGATGCACCGAATGTTTGGCTTTGCTAATGGACTAGCAGCGATCGTGCTCTGCTCATTAGAGGAATGAAACGCTTGTCACCCCTCTCACCGGTGTGATGATTACGGTAGATTAAAAGGGCCCTTCAGCCTGAGTTCATGTCATCACTTTGTCCCACGTCGACTGTTGCTGAAGAGCTTCCCCCACCCAGCTTAAGTCCATTTAGGCGGATCTCAGCCTTGTGTTAATGACCACGTCTCTGCCAAGGATGAGCTTTGTAATATTTGCTTCTGTACAGAGCAAGACGGTCTAGCTTTTCATTACTTCCTAAATATCCCTGTGCTGTTACAGTAACAATTTAGGGATTTTGAAAAACAGGATTTGAGTGAAAGGCATATATAAAGCCGTCCACCTAGTGAGAGGTAAAAAAAAAAATGTAGTAACTGCATGTTACAGACAGACAAATCGTTGCAGATGGTTGTCAATAGCCAGGTTTTTATTCATGCGTTATGTGATGTTACATTATTTAGCCACAGTGGCTTCTCCAACATTTATTTCCTTTACTATTTTGTGCCAATTTTCCCCAAAAATTACATTTATGTTTTCTGAATTTACAACATTATTGGAATAATGCCACCTACACAATAAACATACATTGTGGAAAAACGCTATATAAACAAAATTGTGTAATAGAATGATTTTCAGATTTTTTTATTTTCTTTCTTTCTTTCTTTTTTTGCGTTAAGCATTATGGATGAAAACATTATTTATACATGCTTTGAAACTGTAGTGTAATGTGAAATTGAACTGTAATTCCAAATAATTTTTATAAATAATTAAATATTATGCACATTTAAAATGTAAAAGTTTGGTGTCATTTATAATGTTACCAAAGTTATTTTAAGTTGTAATAATTTTTCACAATGATACTATTTTTTTAATATATATTTTTTTAATCCAAAAAATGTAGACTTGGTGAGCATAAGAGACTTTTAATCTTACCGACCGATAATTTTAAACAGTAAAATTTGAAATCTGATTTGTCAGTTTGACAAGTGTTTTTTTTTTTTTTTTGTATCTTACACAGATAAATCTAGCAAGAATGTAATGTTGCTAAGCAGTTAAGGTGTTCTCACTGTTTTTTTTAGTCTGTTGCTATGTGGTTGCTAGGTGGTTGTTTACTGGCCCAAGTCCAAAAAAAAGCCCACTTTCAAGTTTCCGTGATATTCTGGTGTCTAGTTATGGCTTGGTTCTCTGATTTGTCAGTTTGACAAGTGTTTTTTTTTTTTTTGTATCTTACACAGATAAATCTAGCAAGAATGTAATGTTGCTAAGCAGTTAAGGTGTTCTCACTGTTTTTTTTAGTCTGTTGCTATGTGGTTGCTAGGTGGTTGTTTACTGGCCCAAGTCCAAAAAAAAGCCCACTTTCAAGTTTCCGTGATATTCTGTGGTGTCTAGTTATGGCTTGGTTCTCTCCATCAATGTAAGGCTGTCAGATTTTTTTTTTTCACCTGCTGTTTTCTAAACTGTCCGATCGATTATAAAGGGAACAGCACACCTTAACAAGACACATGATTTGAGGTCTCATTCATGTCCATGGCACATACAGATTACTATGAAACTTACTTTGTAGGGTAAGGGGATTGCTCAGTGAGGTCACTGAATTATCTTCAGTTAATGTCTTCAGTTTGTTTTGGGCTGTAAGTTTTGAAATATTACAATAGCATTTCTAGTATTTAAGGTTTAAGTATAGCATATGATTGGGTCGTTCCGTCGGAATATGGGTTAAATATATTTTCCACTACTTTGGCAACCAGAGAGTCAAACTGCTCTGCACCTGTCAACACCATTGAGGCTTGGGAAAACTCACTCCTTCACTTCATCCTGTTGCACACACTCATTCTGCCTCTGTCACACATCTGCACTCAAACTCTGTTACGTAAGTGCACTTTTTATTCTAATGCAGGATATTCAAGCCCACTAGTTGTTTAAAAATGACAGTGAAGTTGCAGGGGGAAAATCTTAGATTCATTGTCTGAAATCTGCTACTCTGTTGAGTCTTGTTCTGCAGCTGCCCGAGCGGCCTGTTCATTTAAAAAAGCTGCAAGTTCAAAGCCAGGTTGTGGATTACTACCATATGTCTGCAAAGCCAGACTCCAAGAGTAAGTCTGCCCCAGCCATACCCTCTAATTTCTTATCCCAAAATTGGACGTCTGAATGGCTGTGCAACATCGTCCCTCCCCTCCGACTCTTGCATGGTATGTTCTCACAATAATTCATCTCTGCAGGATAACTGAAGCAACCTTACTGCAGCAAGACATTGGGGAAATGCCACGTTTGGAATTGACATTTTGACACGCATCCACTTCTGTAGAGCGGATATCTTATCAGGAGCCACTGCTGGCCAGTGTCCATCCAAGGAAAGAGCTGACATTGTTGTAGTCACACGGCATTCGTGACTACTAAATCTCTCCGAAAAAGGAGGACTAGGACTCTAATCAATGCAAAAATGTCTGGCTTTTATTGTTTGTGCAAATCATAGACAAAGTTCACTGTCTGCGTAGGAGGGGTTTGCAAGGGATCTTTGTTTCTCAAAGACTGGAAGGTATTGGCCTAGTCTGTCAATCCCAGCATGCACTTCAGCCCAGTATGAATACAACATTTGTCTGGTAGTGTGGGTCGAACACCCTCTGACAACCAGACCTCTTTGCCCAAACTGCTTACACAGACTTTGACACCGATGTGCCTGTTCCTTACAGACTTGGAAAAGACTGATCGTTTGGTGAAGAAACCGAAGAACTTCTGAGATGAAGTTGAAGAAGAAGCACAGTCAACTT